ATTCTGGATTCAAAATTATGAATCAAATTCTCAGACTCCTATTTTTTTCCAATCGAAAGTTTGCATCCCATAAGCACTGCTCATTCTCGGAAAGCTTCCTTACACCGATCGCTCGTTACAGTTTTCATCTACCGCGAGGATTCTATATTTTATGATCTGCACGATGCTGGCAAGCTCTAGAAGCGACATAGATGTAAGAATTGTTATGAAATTCTTTTTTTTCATAGGAAACTAGGAAAAGATTTCGAAATTTTTATCTGTGGAATGAGCATTCTCAAAGACGAATGTCGTATTTTGTAGCGCTTACTCCTACAAAAGACGGGATCCCTTCGATAACGATGATTTCTTTTCTTTTCTTTTCCATTCATTGTAGTGATTCCTAACATTCCAGTCAATGCCCAATGGGCACAGAATGGAGTGGCCGTGGCTGGTGGTCACGGGAATGGTGATGCCACCAATCAACTTCGGGGCCCTGAAGGTCTCTTCGTTGATGATGATCAGACGGTAGTCATTGCTGACTTGGACAATCATCGTATCGTCCAATGGAAAATGGGTGATACGAATGGACAAGTGGTAGCTGGTGGTAAAGGCCGAGGAGATCGATTAGATCAATTGAATGAACCAAGCGACGTGTTGATCGACAGAGCGATGAATAATATCATTATTTGTGATCAAAGAAATCGACGAATCGTACAATGGTCTCGTCGTAGTAACACAACTGAAGGAGAGGTTCTCATTGACAACATCCAGTGTCGGGGATTGACCATGGATAATCAACGATATCTGTACATCTCTGACACCGAAAAACATGAAATAAGACGATATCAAATAGAAGACAAGAATGAAACTATCGTGGCTGGTGGCAATGGTCAAGGTGGTGGTTTCAATCAACTCAACTGGCCATCATACCTCTTTGTCGATCAACAACAGTCTGTATACGTGTCAGACCGTGATAATAGTCGTGTGATAAAATGGGATAATGGTGCAAAAGAAGGAATCGTCGTCGCTGGAGGTCAAGGTCAAGGGGGCGCTCCGACACAATTGAACTGGCCAAAGGGAGTGTTCGTCGATGTCTTGGGTACCATTTATGTGGCAGACGACCGGAATGATCGGGTGATGCGTTGGCCAAAAGGAGCAACACAGGGCATCGTTATTGCCGGTGGAAATGGCGCAGGAGGAGGAGCAAATCAGCTCAAGGATCCACAAGGTTTGTCCTCTGATCGAGATGGCAATCTCTATGTTGCCGAGTGGGGAAATAATCGTGTTCAACGATTTACTATCCAATAGACACACTCCGATTGATTATATTTTTTTCTTTCTTTCAAATAAATCGCTTCGAGTGTGGGTGTGGATGTGGGTGTGGGGTGTTGGAGTGGGTGCGAGTCTTCTCTGAATTAACTCCCACACCCACCCTAACTCCAGACCAATTCCAATTCCAATTCCAATTCCTACCAATTTTCCCAATTCCAAGCCAAGAATTGGAATTGGAATTAATAAGAATTGGAATTGGTACATCCCTAACACCCACCCACACCCACACCCACACCCACACCCTGATCTGTCTAACACAAGAACACCACATAGACCTCAACAACATCATAAATTAATAGTTGATTCTACTTTTATTGCAATTCCTGAACCGCCTGATTCAGAGTAACGTAAAGCATATTATCATGCAAAAAGTTCAACAAATTATGCATTGAAAGTATAAATAGCTTGTGATTTTCATCATCGAATAGTACATGCATCTGAATGTTACCATGGAAGTATACATGATATTACAGTTCTTCGAGAATCAGGACTATTAGAACGTGTGTAAGAATCTGTACAAATCATTGGTGACAAGGGATATATTGATGAAGAATATGTAGTCACTCCAAGAAAGAAACCTCATAGACGTGAATTAACAGAAGAAGATAAAGATTTCAATCGTGATATTAATAGTGCAAGAGCAGCCATCGAAAATATTAATCAACGCCTTAAAAACTTATGCTATTCTTGGTGGTGTTTACAGAGGAGCTATTGATGATTTTCATAAAATAACTAAAATCGTACAAGTCGTTTCTGCTTTATGTAATTTGAACTTAAATAAACATCCTATTCGTAGATAAACAAAATGATAAGTTATATCTTCTGATCAATTATTTGAGAATGAAACTATCCTACTAATCTTTAGTTTTGTTTCAAACCTCTTAGCAGGGATGGTATGCATTAACATATACGATGTGGAGCGCGTTTGACACAATAAATACAAAGATTTACTTAATAATTCTTATTTCTAGTGATATATGGATTTCAAATAGTGATAGATCAGTAGCATTATATATGCAGTATAACTGGTAAAAATATCATACTTTTCTAATATGTAGATGAAGTGACACAAATAAATGAATATTGGGGTACTAGTCAAATTGATCACCCCCGTATGTTTTATCCTTACAATAGGACTGTATCAAAATGGGGTACCAGTCAAGTTGATCACCCACAAATAATAATTTATATGAAATTATTTCATTTTGCTTTTCCGCTATTTCAACATGGGTGTGCGTTTTCATTAATACATTTATAAATTTATAATTTATATAAAATTATTTCTTTTGCTTTTTTGTTACTTTAACGGATGTGTATCGTTGAATAAAATTTTGCTTTTGCTTTTTGCCTGTCGGAACATGAAAGCCGTTTTTTTTCATTTATATTCGAACTCGAATTAGATATCTACCCCGAAAAGCACGGAATTTGGACCGATAAGTGTACACTTTCTCACCGAAAAGCGCGCAATCTGGACCGATAAGTGTGCGCGTTCCCACTCACTGTCTGTTAGATATAACAGCAGGCGTGCGTCGATATTCATCTCATTTCTTTTCAATATTCGGATTATAAAGTCAAAGCATTACTGCAAGAGCATACCATTTACATACTTGCTCATATTTATCTACTACTCTCTCCTCAGCGTCTAACAGCAACAAACGACAATGCAGAAAATCATCAAAATGGTTTATTTGATCGCCTTTTTGGCATTGATGATAGCAAGCTGCATGGTACGAGCAGCATCAGCTGAAGGTTTGGGTGGCAATGATCTGAGGTTGTTCAATAATCACACGATCATTGAGGATCGAGCATGCCTGAGAATTATTACCTTAAATCATATGAAGAGAAGAGAGAGAGAGAATCAGAGCAACTAGTCCCTTGATCAGTATGGTTAATGATTTATGATAAAAATTAATAGTTTTCAACCAAAAACGCCTGTTCGAGAGTCGAAACTCACTAGTCTTCCTTAGAACAGATTTAGAGTTCTAGTTGGATAGAAGACATTACAGAAGAATGCAGTTGATCGATAGCAGAATGTATGATAAAACGTCGCTTGAGAACTGGCCTCATTACAAAGATCCTTCGCAGACTCATTTTTAACAAGAAAGAGAAGAAATCATACCAAGTTCAAACAAAATGAGGCCGATGTATCTGACTTCAAAATCATTGCAAGTTAGAAAGTATCCTCTGTAAGGAGTAATGGCAAGGGGGAAAAATCTCATTCGGACATTCTCAGCCATTCACATCTATTCCCGGCCATTCTCATCCATTCGCATCTATTCGCAGCCATTCGCATCCATTCACATCCATTCGCAACCATTCGCATCCATTCCCAACCATTCTCATCCATTCCCATCCATTCCCAGCCATTCCTATCCATTCCCAGCCATTCCTATCAATTCCCAGCCATTCCTAGCCATTCGCATTCATTCCCATCCATTTGTATTGATTTTGAATTATTGATATATATTTGGAATTCTTACAAATTACTGTACTGGCATCTTAAAGCTAGTTTTGCTCCTGAAATAATTATTTTGTTATTAAACTAATTTAGATAAATT